ATAAATGGCGTGGCACTGGCAAGCCTGTGGAAATCTTTTTTTGGGTCAGATGAGCTGACAATTTTTGGTATGCGATCATCGGTAGAAAGAGTAGCCGAGGTCCGAATTTCACTTGACCTAAACGCACACGCTGAAACTAAATTCTGGGAGCACACACTACCCCGAAAAATCAATTCCGACCAGAATTCATCTGAAACTCCTTCAGTCCACCAAAGTGGGATTTGGACAACCCCAGTAATGGACAAGAGCCCGAATTCACTCTCAACACTGATCTATTGTGACTATCTGAAGGGGGCTCACTGATTGGTTCCCTGGCTTTCTTATAACCTGGTCAATTTGGCGACCTGCTCACTTGGAGGAGGTTTTGTGTCAAAGGCGAAACGTTGCCGAAATAAAAACTACCGGTTTTTTACCGAACCCTTCTGAAACGTATAAGATCTCACTTATCCTGGAATGCGCTCACGTTTTTGGTGTCTCCTACCATCTCAGCGTAGAAGCCAGTGTCTTCTGAGAAGTAAACAAATGAATAAATTATCAAATGACTGAGAATAGTTTTGAAGGATAAGCTTTTTAATCTTAAATTTTCTAAGCGGATGTGAGAATGAGGCAAAATTGACTTTTACGCGGCTGTTTTACAGGTAGCTTAATCTGGACTTCGGTTGGAACAAGTCCTGTCGCCAAACAAAATCTTGTCCAAATTCACAAAGATTCCTAATTCACCTCATCACTGAAGTTTTCAAGTCACTGAACTTTGCCGGCCGTTTCACTGGCGAACCACTGGATAATTAATCGGACAGTAGACAGAGGATGATGTCAAATGGTGCAATGCTGATGCAACTTTAAGGGAATGTGATACACAAAAACAGTGCGATAACTTTTCTCGCCCCGGTCCCCGATGTAGTTACGGAAAATTTGGAAAAGTTGCGGTTGTCCGAATTTGAATACCCAAATTGATCCACTTATTCGCCTACTCAAGCATTGTAAGTAGTTTACAATTATTCAGTTGAAGTTTGATTACCCAGGGAACAAACACATGCTCTTATCAAATTTGAAGAACGATAAATCCACGCCCAGAGACAAGGCTCTCTATCATGAACTTGCAGTCTCCTCCAGAAAGGCGGCAAAAATTACACAAATGAATTCCTCCAAAGTGAGCAGTAACCGCGACTGACTCGTAGCCATGAGACCCTTGTTTGAACACAGAGAAGTTGTGTGTAGAGTTTTAGAAATTGTGTTTATTCATCGCCCTAAAACCTCTCGTAATGATCGCAAATTTTCACAAGTCTCCTTTGAACCTAACACAAGTGGGAGACGCTGCAAGTATGGTTGGTAACAGACTTCATTCGCGTTCATGACAGTCTCTCTCCAGGAACAAGTTCAAACTTTATCTCATCCTTAGAAAATTGCTTCCTGAATTTGCAATTGGCTTAGGACCTCAGAATGATTAGGTGGTTGAGGCTTGAAATCACTAGCCTTGTTTCGAATCCAGCCTTTTACGCCATTTTATGCGAAAAATTTCAAGGCTGTGTTTTAAATAATCTGTTGCATTTTATTAGAAGACACCCTCCACTAGATCGGTGGGTATGTAGTTTCACTGTATTTTAAGCCAGTCAGGGAACCAGTCCGTGAGAATTCTCATGACTAACCGGCTTGAACTGTGCTGGGTGTTTAGTCTGATGTTCCAGTTTTTTGGTTAGTGGGGATGACTAACATTTACGTTAGATTGGTTAGAGGGAAGGATTATTCTTCATAATGAATCTGGATTATTCCTCCTTGCTCTTCTCACAATTTGACAAATTAAAGCAGAATTCATCTTGAGTCGTTCACAGATTTCGTGAACCCGCGTTCATCAAAGGTTCCGGCACTATTGCATTGGGGATGAGGCGAGGGGGTGGTGAACTGGATCTAACTATGGTTCAATTTTGTACATTTGGACACAGACCTTTTTGCTGATACCTGCACACAGCCTTGTGTCATCTAGGCTGATCTTAGACAGCACTCCACACGTTCGCGAAGTTCTACCAACGTCATTCTATTCACGCTGGGATTTCCTTGGCGATTTCCACCGATTCGATCACCAGTTGCTGCGGTGTGAATCCTAAACCCCGTCTCAGGTTGTCCACTTTTTCTAAATCTTTTCTAGCCCATTGTCTAATGCATATTCTGCCATTGTCGGATCTTTGAATATCACCTAATATTCGTCTTTGTCTCTCGGTTGTCTTTTAATGGAACGACTATGCTCACCAATTCTGATGTGCAATTCCCTGGCTGTCAATAAATGTAGGTTAACCTTCGTATAGTCGTTACATTTTATTTTGTATACACAGTTCCTAGTTCTATCAACCGGAAGCCAATCCTTCGAATGCACCAACACCGAGCGTAAAGTCTTTCCTTCTGGAATGCCACTCTGATGTTGGCCGTATTCAGTAGCCTTTTAATGACTTCAGAAGTCCCTGTTTTGTATGGGATGGCCGATTTCAGCATCCTTTTGAGTAGCTTCCCTGTGAAAATCTACTGCAATATCTGGAGTATCGTGTCAACTGAAACATGAGGCGGCCTGCGTGCAGCGCTTTCATTTGAAGAAATATCATATCAGTTGATTTTCTCGTGAAATCCAAATTGATCTGCAACTGAGTGCATTTCTTGAAATCAGTCCAATTCTGGTTCAACTAGAACATATGGTTGACGAAAACCCGGGCACTTCTACCTGATGAGCCCGAACTGGAAGGGCGAAACACTTCGTGGGCTGTCGAAGGGATTTCAACAACCACATGATTAAGTAAATTTAGCTTAACACACACAGGTTAAGGACAACCAGGTACGTAAGATTGAGAAACTGCTTTCTTCCACTCTCCTCTCCTACACCACAGAGAAGGGTAGGTAATTTACTAGCTCTTTCAGCGTAGTCAATTAATCAGATGGACTCTCAAGTAGGGAGGAACATCTTCTGGAATGGCCACTGGTTGCTGGGCCATGGCAGTACCAACACTATTCGCCTTAGTTGCTGCTGACTTAATTCCATCGTTTATCCCCGACTTCTAGGTCGCTTTTCTACCTCAAATTGTGCTGCCCTTCGGTCGAACTACTCTGTAAGCCGTGCTCTCACTGTTCTAAACATCGTTGAATTTATAGAAGCATATACTGTTTTTGACTCTACAAACTAACGATTTTTTGTTTATTTCCGGTGAACATTGGTTTTTATTTCCACCCCGCTTGTGTCTCATTTAGTCAAGGTAAGGTAGTGTACCCATAGGGAATTCTGGCGCAATGCTTACCTTAAAGTGAGTGTTTAAATTGTTCAGATATTGAAAGAATTCGCTGAGCCGATCCCGTTTGATTACATCTACGTAACACCAGAAAACCCTTGATGAACACTCGTATCCGTTTAAAGCTTTCTGCTCAAAGTGTCTCATGTATATGTTGGCCAGAATCGGGGATATTGGTGACCCCATTTCTAAACCCTCTTCTTGAGAGTATACGCTTGATTGGTGTGGTTCTTTGGGGTTGATTTTCGAGGAACTGAATTCACCACAGCGCCCAATTTTGCGAAAAGACTCACCGAAAAGGAACACTACGAACAAGGAGTATTGCCCGCTGTTGAATTGAGTTGAATCAAGGCTTTGAATCAGCGTTGTTTGGACACTCATCATCATATGTTTTTGCTTGACTGGTTGACTGTTTGGGCGTCCAATAGGGTGGATTGAAAGTCTCAGTCGGTTGAAGGCATCCGCGAATAAGTTTCAGGAATCCGGTCATTGTTACACCGGATTTCTCGAGTGCTCATTCCATCTGAAAGTAAGTGAGTGAAGTCGGTCAGTCATATTGAAAATAAAGTGTCTGTATTCTCTGGACCTCTTGAGCGTACGCGCAGGATATTTGTCGCAGTCATCGATCTGGAATTGCCATTCCGCTGTAAGCAAGTAGGCAACCAGCAGCAGCACCCGAGGTCGGCGGAAGAGTCACTGGATTCGTTGTTGTTGTTGACAAGTTCACTTTTTGAACGTATCCATGAAAATCAAATTGTTATTGAAAAAAACATCGATCGGAGTCACTTCCAGACGCCCACAAACCAAACAGGCTATCATACTCAGGTGAGCCCTGCGAATTTTAAAGTGTGTTTTCCTCGATACAAAGAACACTACTGGAGCAACAATACTAATTTCAGCTTAAATGGCTTGTATAGTTTGATCATCCATTCCTGATTAAGACAATATAAAACAAAATCTTGCAACGCACACCCTTTTGATCATCCATCCCGGATATAAAACAAAATCTTGCAACGCACACCCCCAATTTGCAAAATTAAGAAAAGAGGTTACAGAAAGCGATGAAATTACAAAACAACATTCTACTTGTGTGTAAGAGCCCATTCAATGAGCTTCATGAACGTGTATTTTTATGTACACTAACACCATAGGGAATAGTAAATTCCTCTGTGCAAATCTTTGCGTTACCTTCAGTTTTCCTCACTTAGATCAACCAGAAAGGACTGGAAATCGACAATTTACGCAGTGAATAAACACCAAGCTTTTGAGGAGTTTCCATTCTGAGTTGGACCAGTTTGTCAAGCCTTATATTGACGCACTGCAAAAACCAATTTGCCGAATGCACATTTCTACTATGACCTAATAATACTAGAAACCGCTTTGATGTCGCCCCAGAACAAAAATTTCCAGAGGCCAGCCGCTAAGTGAAACCAATTTGCACAGTCAGTTTGCTGCTCAATGCTGCCTGAAGCGCACAGGTACTCAACGAAATGATCCACATTTGTTGATCAAAAGAACAAAAATCACCGACGCGCACGCATTGTCGGAATAAGTTTGTGCAAATGATCAGCCATTGAACAAGCTGATCAAAACGGTTACTCATACCCGGATTAGCATAAACTTTGTACCGCAGGTCTAATAGATTTGTGGTGGATACCTTTTCCACACCATCGTCATACATTTGTAAGGCAAAGGTCAACTCACACGAGACGCACAATATAAAATTCCCGGCACATGAAGCTTCAAGTAAGCCGGTATATGATGCGTCGTTGTTCGCTTATTTTCGCGTTCTTCTCCTACATCAAGCATGTGGCAACGTTGGAAGCCACCGGTGTCCAAAATTGGTCATCCCTATCTAACAATCAGCCGTCGAAGAACTGGGTTGTCCTGGCCGCTGGTTCAAACACCTGGGAAAATTATCGACACCAAGTAGGTTTCTGTTGGTTCTTTATTGGTTTGAGGCTCAAAGCTTCACCTAAATCCCGCAAGAATTGGTTTTTAAAGTGTAAGTTTGCAATTATGGTCCCCCAACATTTGTATCCCACCTGGTTTTCTCCATGGCTGTGACATTCCACTCTAAATGGCGGTGGATAGCAGCCAACAATAATGGAAACACTAGTGAGCGCACATTTCTTGGCTCGTATTCGTTTTCGTCAGTAGTTCCTTGTCGGAAATCGATATTATGTTTTGGGCAGGGTCGATACTCCGGTCCTATTAAACTCAGATTTTACGGAGGTGCCTGGTGTGATTCACGTTACTCGGAATCCAACATCGTCACCCATAAGTGATTTATGGCGCGTTATGTTAGGGAAATGACGGCCTGTGGGTGGAAGATATGGTGTTGTATCAAACACGAATTCGATGGTTTTAAAGACACCAGTATTCATCTGACCTGAAGGCCCAAGGGCCCCGCAGTACCTTAGCCTAGAGTGACTTGATGTATAAACCACGCTTCAGAAATCTCAACAAAAGCCGCTGACGTACCAAAAACATTAGCTGTCACGGCGAAGGCACCGGAATTGCTAGGCAATGTGAGCGGATAAATGCATGCTACTTGGTGAGATCAAGTTTTTGGAATAAACAAATATATCTTGGTCAAATTCGCTCGTTCGCTCGTCTATCTCTTGCATCAGGTTATATGTGACCATTTAGCTAGTGCAAAAGGGAACAGATTCGGACGTATTTTCGAAGCCAGAGGATACCAAGATCGTACAGCTTCGGCGAGCAGGTCGTTGCTCGGACACTTGACTGAATGTGGAACTGTGGTCCACACAAGCTCTTCCAGAGTAGAATCGTGCTTCCTGTTCTTGGGATAATGCATCCGAATGCTGTTTGAAGAACTGATACTCCACCAAGTCTGGATTACTCTACACACTCCGCTTGCCCCATTTTGTCTCTATGCCTCACTCTGCCTGTTATCCTAAATTCACGTGTCATTTGTTCCCTCATTCAGGCGAACGTTTACCACGCGTATCATGTCGTGCGTGAAAACGGTGTTCCACCGGAGAATATAATTACCTTTGCATACGACGATATTGCAAACAATCCCAAGTAAATATCGCGTACAATTTCCAAAATATGATAGCAAATATAGTGTAGAAAATGCGCTTTGGTGTTTGGATCTGACACGTCTCATTGTCTTGCTGTATTTCCCATGTGCATAATTGTTGAATTTGAGTTCCGGAAATTTATGGGCTTTTTTGCGTCACTTCAGATGTCATATCAGATTTTCTTTCGGTTGATGCGTTTTTATGACTGTAGACGCCATAGAACCCTGATGCAAGCAACTCATTCTGATGATGATGGTGGTATGTACTCTTTTGAATACTCATTTCCGTAGCCTTAAGTAAAGCACATTGATATATAGATGTCGTCTGAATGCACCAGCCGGCTGATGATTTGGAGCAAATAGTAAGCAGACAATCTAGTCAGCTAAACATTTTGTAATGCAGCCGAACCTTCTAAAACCTGCTTAAAACATTAAAGTTTGGTTGTTTTGTGGAGACTAACACTCGTAAGTCGTTCATTGTTTAATGGTTCGTTCGGCTGTAGCATTTTTAAGTTGCCTAGCCGCCATGACACGCGAATTTTGCACAAGGGCTGGATTAATGGAGTTTTCACAAGCGTAGATAGATGAGGTCGGGAGGCAAAAGACTCACTGCTACTTTTCGTTCTTTTATCCTAGAAACCCGTTTAAAGGCAAAGTGTTCCATGACTACGAGCACGAGGATGTCTACAAGGGTGTGGTGATTGACTACCGTGGAAAAGTAAGTCCGTGTTCCGGTGCGTAGCAATCAAGTGAATTCCGGCATCAGTTTACGGGGTAACACAATGTGCAATTAAAATGACACTGTGGATCAAAACCGTAGGGTAGATTAATCAGTTTTACCCTAGTACAGAATGGTCAATCCACTTGAACGAACACCATTCGTAAGGACATAGCGAACCGTCAGGCAGCCCACGTTCAAGTTCAACCACCTTCAGTTGGCCTATCAAGTTGGTTGGCGTTCTTGTTAAAAGAACCACGAAATGTGCACGAGGACCAACAGTGCCCGAATAGTTTTCAGGGGAAATATCCTATGATATCCTGAGTGATGCACCAATCAAACTAAGCAGCGCGTCCAGGAAAGCACATTCAGCTAAAGAATATCATAGATAAGAGATGTTCAGCTGCGATTCCGTTGAGGGCTTATGAGTGATACTCATTTCGGGATAACGGCTGTTTCTCACGTATGTTGCTTTCCTTAGCTACCGAGGTAGATGAGGGCTACTTTGTAGTGCTTCCAGGTAGTCCATCTTCAACTCAACTACCACCCATAGGCTTGGGGATTAAATCCAATTGCCATGGTTGATAAACAGACCAACAATCGAATTATTTAGTCTTCAGCAAACAGCGATCATTGTGAATAGAATATGTGTGAAGATAAAAGGCAGTTCTTGGATTTGAATTATTTCTTAGGGCGAAAGGCGATAGCTGCTGGGAAGAGAGTGAGTGTCGGAAACACCATTGTCACAAGAATAATTGGTCATGCATGTTTATCTGTTTTAGGATGTCACACGGGATAACTTCTTGAAAGTATTAAAAGGCGATAAGAAACTTGAAGCCAACAAGAAAAAGGTGCTGAAAAGGTTAGTTGGCGCGGAAGTGGATATTGTTGATGCACCTGCTGATCACAGCCAGAATTCTAATTTTGCAGGTCACCGTCCTCGGATTTACGAAAAGCGTGTTTGGTATTCTCGTATATAATTTGGAACATAATCTCTTCGAGTAAGCTTCACTCCAGGGAAAACCCGGTTTCTCCATTTCTGATTTTGGTTATTATTAAATCATAGGCATCAATTCCGAAAAATTCAGATATGCGCATTTGAGAGTGTGCAAATGTCTGCTTGGTCGTGTACAAAGTTGGGTCGGTCGATTTTGGTTTGCTCGGATTCAGGATTTGTTTTAACTCACGGCGTTGAACAACGCAAATAATCACTGTTGAGTGAATAATATAAATCCACGTCCACTAGCGGCCCTCTCGATTTATGGCTATCGCCCAAATCTGTATCGCCATTCACCGATAATACCATCAGCTTTTATAAGGCCTGTTTCAACATAGGTTCTGTGTGGTTTAGTAACGTCAAAGTGGTTCTTTCGAAATTCCTCCCACGCATTCTTGACCCGCACATGACGAGATGCAAAGCGTCGGCATACAGAAAACGAGGCAAATGTTTATTCACTCGCAAAATGTATGTCTCTCATCCTGTCAATTTTGCACTAGGTGCGTGTTTCCTCATTAACCGGTGTTTCGCACATCGACCTGCGATGGAAGTTTCTGTACATATTCCCAGCTCTCGTGAACCGATCTTTTTCGTTCGCAGTTGGAAAGAAACCCGCTTGATTTAAAAGTTTTTTTGTGAACACTGATTATTGGGCCTTATTCAAGTACTGCGTGTTATTTGGTGGTCTGCTCTCATTCAGGTTTGCTTCCGGGAACTTAGTGTTTCGTGAACTTTTCGGTCGCCATTCCAAGGCGGTGGTCTGCTAGCTGTTCATATAGGCGTTATTGTGAGGTTTCGCCAGTTTTCACGATAGCTTGGAGTGGGGAGTTTCCGCATTTACCCTTCCAAAGCACTCAGTTTGACAAACACTCATTTCTGAACTCACCCGCCAAGTGGTAATAGATGTGTAGCACATTATTTGCAGTCGCCTGGTGTATGAAGTTTCCGCTGTCTGTCACGGACATTATATCCTGCTGCAGCCAGGTAGTTTTCCGCGAAACTACATTGTCCGACAAAAAATATTTCGTTGGGCATATAAAAAGAGATATTATTGTGACTGGACATACTGTGAGTTCAAATGTCTGTATTTTGAAATCTGTCTAACGTTGTACAAAACTTTATTTTTCGTGAGCTCGACGTTACCTTTGCCCGTCAGTTTTTGCACTTTCTGTTTGGCTTTTCTGCTTTACGCACATTCGTTAACAGATCTAATAGGGAAACTAAGAGAAGGGTGGTTAAATTTCTTGCAATACTAAGTTGAAAAAATTTGGCTTTTCCGAAGCCGCCTGTAGTTAGTTGAGTTGCCAAAAGAAATAGGGGTGGTCTATAGAATAGATGATCAAAGGCGATAAACCCATCTTCACAATAAGCAAGTTTTATCAACTGGAAGAGCATTCGTGAAAAATCAGGCTACAGCAAAACAGCAATTCAGGAAAAAAACAATCAAAATACTATCGAAACCAGAAGTCTGAATGGGAGCCAATCGAAGGTGGAAAGCCAGAATGCAACAAGTTAAAAATCGGTAAACGATCAATCGGAAAATGAACAGAAGGTCCTCAGACACAACCTACTTAAAGCAGGAATCCAATTCAGGGGATGCTAGCCACAACGCAGCACAGTTCGAAATCGACCATTTGGACCCCGAGAAGTTTATGTTCCCATCAGCCAGTCACAGCCGTATAATATCAGACAAGTATGCAATAACTTCCAACCCAACCAATCACTCATGATGTCACTTCGGTTGGTGATGAAACATTTGAAAACCGATCACTATGAGTAGAGAACGGATGAACACCATCTTGATCTACGACCAACAAATGGAACAGATCCAGATGAATGTTAGATAAATACATATGGCTTCTTGGATATCCCTGTTCAAAATTAGGATCGCCCCACCTTGGTCGTAATATTTTTCCTTAGTAGTGTTTATATTATGTAGATATTAAACAAATCTAATCATTCTTACAAGAACGTGTTTTCAAAAGAGCTGAGTGTGACTGTTTCAACGGCAAGATAATAAAACTGGCTAAAGTGCAAAACTGCTTCAAACCATCTTCGTACATTGAAAACAACAGGTTTTAAAATCAGACGTCCAAAAATCAAATTTCCCTCCCCGTATTTACGTAGCCATGGAGAAAGCTGACTAGAAGAAGTGAATTTAGCTACTGATTATATGCAGCCGCGAGTACTGAACAATATTCTGAAATACTTGTTCGCTAAGTTTCCATTTCCGCGGGTATTTTCTTGTGTTTTGATATCTCCGCGAGCGCCAGCCAATAAGCTACTCTGTAAGATCACTTTAAACTTTCTGCCCAATAACAGCGGTCCTAATGACAACGTGTTCATCTTTTACTCTGGCCATGGTGAGACTTCCTGTATAGCCTTCCTTGAAGAAAATGTAAGTTTAGTTATCTTTGATAACCATGGTTTTAGCAAGCTGATTTTTTATTTGAAGCTAAGTAGTGAATGGATTGAAAAGGCTTACGCAAACGTGTTGGTGCAATGACATCGGTATTTCTTTATAAAGGGAGTTTATTTTCAAGCTGTTCTAGAAAACAATCAAAAAATGGAACGCATGCGGCTATATGTTCGTACGGCACTCTCAAGAGTGACATCCTCAGGGATTCAAGCTTGACAGGTCTCGTCAAGGTGCTTTCAATGACACCGTCAAATTGATTTTGTTTTACGAAGTTAAAGTTCGTAGGACACACATGATTTCGATCCGTTCAGAATGCTGAGCAAACTTGAGTAACATAGACAAAGGAGCCGGTCATATAGGGTCACTCTTGAGGCGTAGGGGATACGAAGAACGCGTCAACCGAATTCTTCCTGACAAGATAAAATACTGCTTTTTGCTTCTATAGCGAAAGCATGAATCTTTAAGTGTATGAAGTTTTCACATTTATGTATGAAAAAACAATCTGTGATGGAGCAATGTTCCATCTTTAGTGGAAATCATGGGTGGAAAGCTTGATAGATGCAACGTGTAACCGTTCGGCCAATAGCGACCAACCAACAGCCTCGTTTACCCGCACGACGTCAGGGCATAACATCGCACATTCTTCAACCAAATGATCCACATCACCGGTGACTGACTCATCGAGTGCCCCATTTCGAGCTCACGAGAATGTTTTTTCTTGTCTTGCGACAGCTGTATGCCATGGAGTTGAACGATACCCTCGCCTACATGCATTCAAAAAAAATGTTCAACAAATACTCTGGCTCTATGTTTCGCGATGTTCTTCCTTCAAATATGGGAAGTAAGTAGCGTAAATTTCTGGCTAATTGTTGCATGGATCCTGTGAAAGAGCATTCATAATGTCAACCATATATGGTTTAAAAGCGGCGTTGACCAGTAAAACAGAAGGAAGTTCCGCTTTTGAACCAATTTCATATGGGTGGGTGAAAACATTGTGTAACCGGTACAACCCATGTGATATTTTGGTGTTCCTTTGCAGCAACCACCAATGCCAAATGAATTCATTCATTGTAAATTTCAAACCTTTCGTTGATCTTTCATAAAAAGTACACTTCAACCCACCGAAAAACAGGTCGAATTAGTGTGGCTTGACTAACTTCGACCGTTCTTGTCAGTGGTTTTTTTGAGCGGGTCCACCGTAAAAACAGATTATACATTCACACACTTATTTTATTTTGACGAGCTGACCCAACCGAACCCATATATAAGTCCCGTTCTTGAGGGTGTTTTGCAAGTTATGCCCAGTCTGCGTTCAAGTCTTGATTAGGTTTTCGGGAAAGTCAAGTACTGCGTCTACCTGATTCGCCACAAGAAGCATAAAAACCATGATGTTCTGTCAATGAAACGCCCGCGATATTCTGAGTAGTGTGTTAGTTCTAAACGTCTTCATGCTTCATTTTTTCTGTTAATCACAGGATCCGTTCTTTGATAATTTACCTCACTATTTCAAACATCTTTTATATTGACCTATACTATCTTTTGTCTGAACCCCTAAATCTGCAGTCTACGTGACAACATCAGCCAAGGAAGATGAACCATCCTTTGCTTTGTTTTGTTCGGACAAGGACATCGATGTTTGTCTAGCGGACAATTACTCGTATGTCTGGGTTTTAGATTCGGAATTCGTAAGTTTTACCAGAACTGTTGCAGATGAGCCTGTCAGTTTTTGGTGGGTATTTCGGTGGTATTCAGCAGCCAGTGGTAGACCATTTGATTTATTTGTTTTGTTTTCAAGCATGAAGTGGAGTTATGGCAATTCGGGGATTGCATGTCCGAAATTTCTCACCATCCCCCCCAATCAGGTTTGCCTCTGATGTTCCAGCGGGATATGAAAGAGGCTAGCAAAACTCTGGGTGCAATCAGTGTGATTCGCACTCTACAATGGAGACCGCCTGATTTCCGCCGTTAGTGTCCCTGAATCGATGTTATTGGAGTTCTTGTTATCATTTTCGGTTCAGATTGCCTGGAGATGTAGGCGCATCAGAATAATTGTGACAGGCCAGCACCGAATACTTTCCCCATCTATGTTTAGTCTTTTCATTTGATTATGGCTTCAAATGGATTTTGAATGCACGGAGGGAGGCGTCGATTTTGAATACGGATGTTGTCAGTTATGACGTTGATGTTGATGGTGATAACGATGCTGATGGTGATAACGACGATTATGATGCTTGTGCATCTTTTGAACGCCTTCGTCTCAGTACATCTGTCGAAATGAATCACTATGCCACTGACTTTCCTGCTGTCAGATCCTATCCAAATGGTCTGACTTGGTCTCGGATGTGCAGGTATCTCGGTTGCACAAATTAGGCTAGCCCTATGTTTTCCTTCCTGTTCTAAAACCTTTCTTTTTCCACCAAATAATTCATGATGCTTGAACGGCTATGAATCCTCAGTATTAACCTCTGTTGTTGATCTCAATGATGATGACGATGATAATGATAATGATGATGGTTTTGATCAGAGCAATAGAGCATCAAATCCTTAAGATATGTTGTATGTTCATTTATGGTGTACAGGAATAGAGGAGTGCTCACTAATATTACTGCAGTATGTGCCGTTGCATACCTCGGTTGTCTTAACTCTAGTCATAGTTTCAATGTTTTGCCTACAGCGGATTCTCCTTAAAATTGCGTAAGCTGATCTGTCTGCTTCACATAGCTCCCCGTTGTCATTGTCGCCCACCCGCACGCAGGAAGACATAAAAAAGCGTACACTGGATGAACAATACGAGGAGGTGAAAAAGCATACAATGTTTAGTCACGTGATGAAAAACGGTGAAATGGTGAGTCACAGAATGCGCCGGAGTGATTCATTTGGGTCACTTGTGAAAAGTCAAACTGTTATGAAAATGAGTGTATCTATCGAGATAACAGTTGTATTTTGTTACCTGTGAAAGCTGGCGGTCAATGTTGAAAATACTTGATTCGAAACTTCAGGTTTCATAAACCAAGTTCAGCAAGGTTGCTAGTCCAGACATCTAGATACCCAAGCCTAGCCACTGTCACAGTTCGGTTAACCAAGAAATGGCATTGAGTAACTGATGATTCATACGTTTCTGTGCTACGGTACAAAAGGAAGTCGGAATTTCTATGAGTCGTTTATAAGTTACTCAGAGGTAGAATAGATCTACACGATGACTGAAACTTCCATCTGAACAGTTGACACTCGAGGAGCCGATGTGTGGCCACGTGTGGTGTGGCCACGTGATGTGGTTTTCCGTGATGATGCGATGAGTGCCTTGGACCTGAGTGAGCGAACTTATGTGATAAGACTGGTGATTCGGTGGACATCAGTGTTATACACTGATGTTTGTGAGACGGTTTTGGAACTGATGTTCATTGAGCAACCGCATTTTTCAACACACACGTTAGTACTATGGTGTAAAATTGCGGTCGCATTGCTTTTTCATTGTTGCTTTTTTATTGTTTGGAACAAGACGCTATCTGGGTTGATATTGAACTGAAAGATGTCTGTTTATTGTTTATTTCAGGCGATGGGAAGTCTCCCAGTTGGAAAGTTCCACGGCCATTATGATCTACTGATGCACCGGAATCATAAGAGTAGGTGTTCAGCGCAATATTCGATATTTTGAATTGTCTACTGGAGCAATCATTTCTTACGTCACTGGATGTTTAAGGAAGCAAGTGGCCACTTCACATTTCAATTACAGTCTAATAAGTTGTCACTTCAGTGGCAGAAACACGTAACATCCCAGTTGATATCGACGAAGACTCAATAATTGCTATTACAATTGCTTTTGAGGAAAACAACAGTTACTCCGATACACCTTTCCGTGCGGTTTGCTACAAATCTCTTGGTAGATGGATAGATAGATAGATAGATAGATAGATACATAGATAGATAGATAGATAGATAGATACATAGATAGATAGATAGATAGATAGATACATAGATAGATAGATAGATAGATAGATACATAGATAGATAGATAGATAGATAGATACATAGATAGATAGATAGATAGATAGATACATAGATAGATAGATAGATAGATAGATACATAGATAGATAGATAGATAGATAGATACATAGATAGATAGATAGATAGATAGATACATAGATAGATAGATATTGATAGACAGGCAGGCAGAAAGTTAAACAGACAGATAGACAGTTGTAGAGATAGTCACGTATTTAGATGAATATCGGCCAATCTACATAAACACAGCGGAGCGAGCGAATCGTAGTTCAAACACATCGAGCATCTGGTGACTGACTCTAGCATGGTCAGTGATAATCAAGCTAATGTAGACAACCTATCAGTCCAACTGACAAGAGTTTCACAGCTTGCAATTATTCGTCGATTTCATGTTACGCCCTCCGACGTAACATGGTGTTTACCATTGACCATAAAAAAACAGAAATAATCACCTGCTTAACTCAAGGTGCCACATGAGAGTCGACGCCAATCTTCAGATAATCAGCGGAATCCCTGAAAATTTGGTGATGTTCTACGTACTCAAAACTGATGTACAAAAGAATTAATTTCGTCAGTAATGTGCGTTCCGCTGGCAACCGTGTGATTTTATGTAGTTTCTCCTCAATATTGAGTAGTCCACGGGTCAATTCCTTCAGTCAGCATTGGCGGAGCTCCTGTGATTAATAAGCGTTGAATAATTGTTTTTTGGTTCCAGGCGAATTATGTAGATAGAAAGCGCCCTTACCAGGCGCTTTGGTTTTCAAAGTCTCGACGCTTGATGAAGGCCGCAACCGAGGATGAACATGAAACTGCTTGGCAAAAGCTGCACCGTGAACTTCAGGTTTATAGTTTCTTTTTCTTATCTAGTTGATCTCAATAAAGGAACTGAATGCATGATAAAAAATTATTTTAGGTAACAGTCCATTTGTGTGTTGGAGAATAGGTATTGAGGATGCATTAGAGCAGGTGAAACTCATCTGTCCAATGTTTTCATCGGCCGTTACTTTAAGCCACGCGAAACCCCAAATAGATTCGTTTAGATGTGCGACAAATCTTTTGTAGTCTATCTACAAACTCCCACAACTATTCTTCTCGCTTCTTTCAGCTTAGCCACATCGTCAAGGAAACCTTTCGTGATATCGTCATAGATGTGACAACCCACCATAAGCCAACGCTAGAGGGCTTGTCCAAGAGGGATGAGCTCATGTGCTTCCAGGCAGCACTCGAGCAATTCCGGACGCGCTGCTTCACAATTCAGCAGGCAAGTTGACTTCGTGATGCAAAGAGACACGTGTGTGCAAAAATATGCATACGTTAATAGCCAATGCATTTACCGACGGCGTCACGTAAGGGGAGCCTCAATCTCAAAATCAATCTTACTTAAACGTCCAGCGAATGAGGTTTCGGGGCAAATGTAGCGCTCACATCACTAGCACCTTCGTTCTTTTCCTGAAATTGGATTAATGTGCGAATGAGGGTATTTATTGTATCTGAAAGTTCCGAATCCTGAAATTAACCCTAGTACTGAAGCTACTGAGTCCCTAAAAATTCCACCAAAATTCGAATAGGAAAGCCGGGGAGCATACAAACAAGTCCGTCATTCAATCAATTTGGCAACAGCCGATGAGCGTTTTTGCATGCTATGGAAGCACGACTGAATGTGATTGGCGTTCAGGCATCTGTCAGAAGCACGACCGATGTTGAAGGCGTTCAGTCTGCCATCAGTCTACCCGGGTTATTGCTAGAAAGGGCCCATTAAATTGCACGAGACTGTTATAAATTTTCAACTACCACACACTCGCTTGTTTGGAATAGGTGTGTTATGTAAATTTTCTGGCACTAGGCACAGGATTTAAAAAAGCAGTCGGATATAACAGCAGCGTTCCTTTTATTTTACTCTAACATTTACCCAAAGACAAGGTGTAACTGAACAGCTCCACCAGTTGGTCGCTGAAACCTGCTTTAATCGATCGGTAAATTGTGTGTGTAACCGAAGTAATTGGATTGCCCGCTGAGTTGAGGTTTTGACTGGATCCCCAACCTCTGATGTTTCGTATAGAGTGCCAGTGGATTGCCCGGATGAATCACATTCCTTGCGATAGAAGGAAGTGGTATGACTGCTAATCTCAGGTTGAATTGAAATTAGGAGAACAACTGCCCAAAACAGAAAATTCCAAAAGACTCCATACCAGTCAGATTGTTAGACACATTAAGGCCTACCCAACGACCTTAACTAAATATACGACGAAGTTTGAAGGAGCTGTATGAGAAAATATGCGATAGAAGGAAGTGGTATGACTGCTAATCTCAGGTTGAAAATGTGTTAGGAGAACAACTGCCCAAAACAGAAAATTCCAAAAGACTCCATACCAGTCAGATTGTTAGACACATTAAGGCCTACCCAACGACCTTAACTAAATATACGACGAAGTTTGAAGGAGCTGTATGAGAAAATATTCAAAGTCGATGGGGCTAAGTTTGATGATGCGCCACTAGCACGGTTTGAGTGACCAGGAGAAACATTGAAATTTGGGCAGTGCATTGAGTCGACAGATGACACAAGACTGTTCTAACTGTGTCCGCCGACCGGCCTATTTTTGTTCGTCCTGTGCACCTATCGTGCACTGGTACGTCAGATGTGTGGGGGCGTCTTGATGAGTCCACAAGGTCTGAGAATCCCGACGGTTTTACCTGTAGGCTTTTGGTTGTCACAGAACGGCTAGCTTGATGGAAAAATTCAACCCATGTTTCGCGACGATGGCAAAACACGATACGGAACAGCTGCAATTCATTTAATTTTGGCAATACCAGGGAACAACGGGCGTGTCCGTTAGGAACATATGTTGTGGACAGAGTCAATGAGGGTTTCAGCCTCGTATCCGAGTTTGCACATATCCAATAAATGAGTTGTATGCTGGGCAGCCTCGAAGACCTGAATGCAGATTGATAACAGAATCTCAACTATGAAGTCAGTCTAGCCGTGGAAGCGAATGATTCGCTACACATAAGAAATACTTAGGATCCTTCATTTTGAGCACAGTTTTATACTAATGACTAAGATGCTTTCAACCGAACAGGGAGGTTTTTTCACACAAGATTCCTCATAACGGCCACCAACAGGCTTCAGCATTCTCGTGAAGAACTGGTCATTATACTTAACAGTGCGGAAGATTATCAGCGAGGCCAAATGAATGTTAAGTAGATATTGGGTCTGCGATTTGTGAGAGGGGTTGTTGAGTATTACTATATCTGAGTTTCGGATGCTTCGAGGCATTTATATATATATATACGCACGATGTTAGCGGAGAGTACGCTAAATTATTCAGCTACGTAGCAGACCAGTGAAACTGTGTGAGCTCTACCCAGAGTTTCCATTGATCTAATGTTCTACTTGAACCCGACAGATTTTTTCAAACGCTTTGCTTGTGAACGAATAAGGTATCGACAGGGGACATAAGTGAACCGCTAATGATGGTTTGAAATTAGCCGGGTAACTCATTCTTAGATTAGAGGAAGTGGGTTATTTTCGGTTAAAACCCTGCGCAATTAGATCAAATCGTATGAAAACAGGCGAACCAGTAGAAGGTCTGTACTTTACTTTTCTCTTGTCATGAGTATCAAATTGGGCTTGTCTTTCGAGAGCTTTATCGCACCAAGTGTTCCAACTTTCTGTCCGTTGGACATCGATTTGTTCGTTAAATGATCCCAAAATTGTGCGTTTTAATAACAACCCCAACGATTCCAGCCAGATTTGCGGGCCCGACCATGCTTCACTATATTCCTTAGCAGTGTTGAACACAGGGACGGTTCACAAGGAAGGAAACCTCACTCCACGACTAAACTAACCTAACTAAAATAAACCTGAACTGAACCTAACTGAACTAAAATTAATTGAACTCAACTAAACTGAACTTAAGCTAACTGAATTGAACTGAACTGCACTGCACTGAAGTTATTTGAATTGAAATCAGCAGCTTCATTCAGCTACTGTCAAGCTTGACATATCCATATGCTTCCTCCGCAACAATTCGGATTTTCAAAATTCCGGTTTATCTCGATCATTTTCCACCCACCATCAGTCGCCCTACTGATATGGGGTCATGATGGAAAATAGCTAACAAGATGTTTATCTAATGAATTCCATGTTGCGACATGAACGTTCAATTTCAGGAAAAGAACGAAGGTGCAAGTGATGCGAGCACTACATTTGCCCCGAACGTTCATTTTCTGGACTTTTAATTAAGATTGATTTTGAGGTCGAGGCTCGCCTTACGAGACGCCGTGGGTAAATGCATTAGATAGTAAAGTATGCATATTTTTGCACAAACGTGTTTCCGTGCATCACGAGGTCAACTTGCCTATGACACAAGACTGTTCTACCTGTGTCCGCCGACCGGCCTATTTTTGTTCGTCCTGTGCACCTATCGTGCACTGGTACGTCAGATGTGTGGGGGCGTCTTGATGAGTCCACAAGGTCTGAGAATCCCGACGGTTTTACCTGTAGGCTTTTGGTTGTCACAGAACGGCTAGCTTGATGGAAAAATTCAACCCATGTTTCGCGACGATGGCAAAACACGATACGGAACAGCTGCAATTCATTTAATTTTGGCAATACCAGGGAACAACGGGCGTGTCCGTTAGGAACATATGTTGTGGACAGAGTCAATGAGGGTTTCAGCCTCGTATCCGAGTTTGCACATATCCAATAAATGAGTTGTATGCTGGGCAGCCTCGAAGACCTGAATGCAGATTGATAACAGAATCTCAACTATGAAGTCAGTCTAGCCGTGGAAGCGAATGATTCGCTACACATAAGAAATACTTAGGATCCTTCATTTTGAGCACAGTTTTATACTAATGACTAAGATGCTTTCAACCGAACAGGGAGGTTTTTTCACACAAGATTCCTCATAACGGCCACCAACAGGCTTCAGCATTCTCGTGAAGAACTGGTCATTATACTTAACAGTGCGGAAGATTATCAGCGAGGCCAAATGAATGTTAAGTAGATATTGGGTCTGCGATTTGTGAGAGGGGTTGTTGAGTATTACTATATCTGAGTTTCGGATGCTTCGAGGCATTTATATATATATATATACGCACGATGTTAGCGGAGAGTACGCTAAATTATTCAGCTACGTAGCAGACCAGTGAAACTGTGTGAGCTCTACCCAGAGTTTCCATTGATCTAATGTTCTACTTGAACCCGACAGATTTTTTCAAACGCTTTGCTTGTGAACGAATAAGGTATCGACAGGGGACATAAGTGAACCGCTAATGATGGTTTGAAATTAGCCGGGTAACTCATTCTTAGAGGAAGGTGTCTGGGTTATTTTCGGTTAAAACCCTGCGCAATTAGATCAAATCGTATGAAAACAGGCGAACCAGTAGAAGGTCTGTACTTTTCTTTGGACTTCCTCTGTGCATATCAGTTTTGTGGGTTCCAAGATGTTGGAAGATTCTTGGAATCAACAATGGTATGGTATGCTTTTCAGACAGATGTGACACTGATGAAGTGTTTTTGCGTGTTGGTACTTGATCAGTTCCAAGTAGTGAAATTTCTTGCAGAGTTTCTCCTCTAAGGAAACCGTGTAGAAGAGCACACTACAGGTAGTCCAGAGGGTCGAAACCTGGTGAGTCACACGACACGATGGCTGGGCATCCGTCGCCTTTCAAGAAAACTACTTGCAGGTAGAATCGAACGATTTTTGTAAAAAAAGGGCTAGTCACGTTGGTAAATTGAGGGATATATACCATCCCATACAGAATAACCAGAGGTTTAGTCATCAAAAATTGATAGTGGTTATCAAAACATTGAAACCACGATACACACCCTGTGAATAAGTTATTCATATAAAGTGGCACGAGTTCGTTTTTCATGGGTATCATCTTGGGCTTGTCTTCCTACAGTTTTACCGCACCAATTGTTCCGGCATTCTGCCGGTTGGACATCGATTTGTTCGGTAAATGTCCCAAAATTGTGCGTTTTAATAAAAACCCCAACGATTCCAGCCAGACTTGCAGGCCCGACCATGCTTCACTATATTCCTTAGCAGTGTTGAACACAGGGACCGTTCACAAGCTACGAAAACTTACTTCACGACTAAGCTAACCTAAAGTAAAATAACCTGAACTGAGCTTAACTTAACTTAACTGAACTGAACTGAACTGAACTGAACTGAACTGAA